CTTGCTCCATGAATATAAGGATTGTTTTGCTTGGGATTATCATGAGATGCCTGGGTTGCCAAGAAGTTTGGTCGAGCACGAATTAAGAATCAAGGAGGGGTTCAAGCCTTTCTAGCAGCCGCCGAGGCGTTTCTCGACCAAGGTCCAGCTTAGGGTCAAGGAGGAAATTGAACGGCTCCTTAAAGCCGGCTTCATCCGAACGGCCCGGTACGTTGAGTGGTTGGCTAACATTGTACCAGTTTTAAAGAGGACCGGGGCCTTGAGGGTTTGCATCGATTACCGAAATCTGAACCTCGCAACCCCCAAGGATGAATACCCCATGCCTATGTCAGACCTCCTGCTCGACGGAGCCGCAAAGCACGAACTCCTGTCTTTCATGGAAGGCCATGCAGGTTACAACCAAATTTTCGTGGTCGAAGAGGATGTCCACAAAACGGCGTTTAGGTGTCCAGGAGCGATCGGAACCTATGAATGGGTAGTCATGCCGTTCGGCCTAAAAAATGCCGGCGCAACATACCAACGAGCTATGAACCTGATTTTCCACGACCTTATAGGCCGGACCGTGGAAGTCTACATTGACGACGTCGTTGTAAAGTCCCCGTCCAAAGCCGACCACGTAGGACATCTCCGGCAAGCTTTCGACCAAATGCGAGCACACGGCCTAAAAATGAACCCCAAGAAATGTGCATTCGGCGTCACCGCCGGGAATTTCCTCGGTTTCTTGGTTCACAAACGAGGAATCGAGGTAGACAAAAATAAAGCTACGGCCATTATGGCGGCCCCTCCGCCGAGAACCAAGAAGGAGCTCCAATCCTTCCTCGGCAAGGTCAACTTTTTACGGCGGTTCATATCCAACTTGGCAGGGAAAATCCGGCTGTTGACTCCTCTGCTCAAGCTAAAGGACACAGAACAGTTCGTATGGGGAGCAGAACATCAAGCCGCCCTCGACGACATCAAGAAATATATGTCTCAACCACCAGTCCTTATGCCGCTGAAAAGAGGAAAACCTTTGAGGCTTTACATTTCGGCTTCAGAAGGTTCTATCGGCTGCCTGTTGGCTCAAAACAACGAATCTGAACGAGAGTAGGCGGTGCACTATCTAAGCCGCACCCTCAACACGGCCGAGCTAAACTATTCGCCGATCGAGAAATTGTGCCTAGCGCTTTATTTCGCGGCCACCAAGTTACGGCGTTATATGCTTCCTTCGGTCGTCCAGATCGTCTCCAAGACCGATCTTATCAAATACATGCTCACTCGGCCGATTATACGCGGCCAAATTGGGAAGTGGATGATGGCATTGTCGGAATTTACCTTTCAATATGTGGCTCAGAAATCGATCAAAGGTCAGGCATTGGCCGATTTCCTGGCTCATCACCCGGCCCAAGGGCAGGAGGGAGAGTTGGAGGTCGAGATCGGCATGGCCCACATGGAAAAGAACTACTGGACCATGTACTTCGACGGCTCCAGTACCGAGGCCAGGTCAGGGGCCGGAGTCGTGATCGAATCCCCTCAAGGGCAGAGATGGCAGTTTGCTTTCCAACTCGACTTCAAGTGCACCAATAACCAGGCTGAATACGAAGCACTCATCATCGGTCTCGAAATTCTGAAAGAAATGAAGGCAACCCGTGTTCTAGTCTACGGTGACTCTCAGTTGGTAATTAATCAGTTGACCGGGGAATACTAGTGCATGAGCGAGAATCTCACTATGTATTATGTAACGGCCCTCAATACGGCCGACGCATTTTCTAGGATTTCCTTCGTTCACGTACCACGCGCTGAAAACCATGAGGCCAACGAGATGGCCCAGGTGGCGTTAGGCGTGAACATCCCGGACACCGAGCACGATCGCGTAATAAGAATCGAGAGGCGTACCTTGCCGGCTCTGGCCGAACGCGGAATGGCAACGCAAGTATCTTCGGCCGAGATTACCGACGAGGTCAACACGGCTGAAGCCGACTGGCGTTACCCCATAGTAAAATATTTGCGTGACCCTTCCGGCAGCCATGAGAGGACTACGCGTTTCCAGGCTCGGTTTTATTTGATTTATCAGAACGAGCTGTATCGAAAGGGATCGGACGGCTTATTACTCCTATGTCCCAACGCCGAAGACATCAAGGTCATCATGACCGAATCTCACGAGGGGATCTGTGGTGCCCATCAATCTGGCGTCAAGATGAGATGGCTGGTCCGGAGGCACGGTTACTACTGGCCGACCATTTTAAAAGACTGCATAGAATATGCGAAAGGATGTATCAAATGTCAAATCTACGGCCCCATATCAAATCCAGACTCGATGCTTATAACCTAATGCAGGCACAGAAGCAGATTGCGGCGAGGGCTTACAACAGGACAAAGGACCCTCGGTTCGGCAAATTTTCGCCCAATTGGGAAGGGCCATTCATTATCGAACGAATTCTTGGCCGAGGGGCATTTCAGTTAAAAGATAGGGATGGAGAATGGCACAACTTACCGATCAACGGCCAGTATTTGAAGAGATACGCCCCGTCATTATGGGAGACGACCGTGAAAGAGTTATAAAGATTCACAAATGACAAAAGTGGAGTATGCAACACGGCGAAGACGAACCAAAAAATCATACTTCATTTTATTCATTTAGTTTAAAGGGGGAACGCATTTACAAGGAAACGGCCACGTCATGGCCGAGTACAAACACCCATAAGGAAAATGACATCCTAAATCTACGCGCAACGGCTTCATGGTCTTCTTGCTAGACAGTCAGACGCTCCTCCCCGAAACAGTACCTCCGCCAACTGTAGCATCACCAGCTGCAGCCAACCTAAAAGCCAAGGCTTCACTCGGGCCAAGGGAAGGGCCGCCACTCAGGACACAGGTGCGGCCGGGTAAGCCCAAGGCCGTCATTACGACCAGAGGACAGGCCGGCACTCTGGATATGAGTGCAGCCGGGCGTGGCCAGGGCCGTCACTCTGGCCATGATAAGCAGCCATCACTCTGGCCATGGTATGCGGCCGTCTTTCTGGCCATATTAAGGGTCGTCACTCCGGCCATGATAAGGGCCGTCACTCCTGCCGTAGATACGACCATGGCACTCAGCCGGATGAATACGGCCATATCAGAGTCGTGATACCAGACTTTCCCATCTTCATCAGTCGCTTTGCAGTTCCTCCTCAGCCTCACAGGGAAGGAGGTCATCTTCCTCCAGGGATGAGAAGAGATCTCGGCCGCATCTTGTTTCTGGCCCACGACGACTTTCCAGGACGAAAGACGGTTGGTGGACAGCAGGGGAAGGAGAGCCATTTGGACTAGGGCAAACTGCCAGGTCACGAGGCTCAGCAAATATGGCCCCCCGATTTTAGAAAGACAGCAATGGGGGTCATTGGAGCGGGTTAAAATAAGGAAAAAGGGGAGAGCCAACAAGAGGCTCAACACTGTTTTGAGGCAAGGATAGAGGTCAATAAGCAATAGGGAAGCTTCAGAACTAATTGGCAAGGTTAGGGTGAGCTTTTGAGAAGCATGAACTCAAGGATTTTAGAAGTGTGAAGAAGAAACGAAGGAGTTTGGGTTTTTATACTAGCACTGGCATTCGAGACGGAGAGGTGTGGTTCTCGTAAGACGAAACAGCCTGACAACGCATTTAGGGCGCGCAAGGATATGATAGAGGCCTGGGGATGACGTTTCGATTGACGAGGCGAAATGATGACTCACACGAATTCGAAAGCACAATGACGTGTCGAAAGCCCAGAGGCTGTCTTTTCATCTGACGTAACGAAACGACGCCTCACGTAAGTTGGGCAATGATGGCCTGCACGATGTGCTTGGGCATTGAATGCGCCTGGGCATTAAATGGGCCAACTAGCCTGCGCATTTAATGCAACAGTTGTCAATCACTTCAGAAGGAATGCAAAGGGTCCATCCCTTGGAATCCATTCGGCCCCAACCCGTGCCGAGACCGAAGAATCCAGGGATGTGGGGGCAATGTTTGTGCCTAATAAATCACGGCCATAAACTGGCCGAAGGAGCCCCTTTTCTCGGCCCAGGCACTTCCTCGAGAAACTAAAGTGCAGCGTTCCGCCAAGGTGTTTTGCCTTACTGAAAACAACGGAAAAGTTGCCAAGGCATGATCATCTCGGCCTTGATTGTAAGCCGAGGCCGAGGCCGAGCAAAATCACGGCCAGAGATATCAGAATCAAATCGTCACGTGATAGCAGGGTCCCATGCTTCATTTAATGAAGTAATGCCTCTGTTTATTGCAGCAAACCCACTGGCCACAAATAAGCATTTAATACACAAGGGAAGGTGGGAAGTGACTGAAGTCAAGTTATGGCGACAGGAAATAGAGTGATTAGACGCAGACATTCTCACAAGAATTCTTGCAGCTTGAGAGATTAGGTCACCAGCTATCAGAACAATAAATGCGTCCCCAGGGCCAGAGGCGCAGAACCCACGAACAATAAATGGTGAGTTTTGAGTGAAATCCAATCCCTACAACTATGCAATACACCAACCACTCCAATTTGGAACGAACTGCATTGGAACTTGAATTGTCCAATTTCTTACACCTATTGATATCGGATCGAGCCCGAATCTTGGGAAACATTATAATACGGTGGGTGGAGTCATTTGGTGAGTTTTGAGTGAAATCCAATCCCTACAACTATGCAATACACCAACCACTCCAATTTGGAACGAACTGCATTGGAACTTGAATTGTCCAATTTCTTACACCGATTGATATCGGATCGAGCCCAAAACTTGGGAAACATCATAATACGGTGGGAGGAGTTATTTGGAGAGTTTTGAGTGAAATCCAATCACTAGAACTATGCAATACACCAACCACTCCAATTTGGAACGAACTGCGTTGGAACTTGAATTGTCCAAATTCTTACACCGATTGATATCGGATCGAGCCCAAATCTTAGGAAACATCATAATATGGTGGGAGGAGTCATTTGGGGAGTTTTGAGTGAAATCCAATCGCTAGAACTATGCAATACACCAACCACTCCAATTTGGAACGAACTGCGTTGGAACATGAATTGTCCAATTTCTTACTCCTATTGATATCAGATCGAGCCCAAATATTGGGAAACATCATAATATGGTGGGAGGTGTGATTTGGTGGGTTTTGAGTGAAATCCAATCGCTAGAACTATGCCATACACCAACCATTCCAATTTGGAACGAACTGCGTTGGAACTTGAATTGTCGAATTTTTTACACCTATTGATATCGGATCGAGCCCAAATCTTGGGAAACATCGTAATACGGTGGGAGGAGTCATTTGGTGAGTTTTGAGTGAAATCCAATCGCTAGAACTATGCAATACA